TTAATGTTTTTAAATGCACTTCAGTCCACTTGTGATACAATAAAACTTTATTGAATTCTGTTCCCACATCACACTTACCGTCCCTCACTTTTATTGATATGTGAGCCCATCTACTCTTCTATCAGCAATAAAAGGAATATTTCTAGCAAGGCTATGACCTTTTCTTCCGTCACTACAGCAGTTGGGAAATGTGATTTCAGATTCCATGTTTAAAAAGAAAAAAAGTACTAAGAAAAGAAAGGATGAAATATGCTCATTTGCTGGGGATTTTTCCCTTCCTCTTGTCAGTATTAGAGAAGAAGGAAATTCTCTGCAAGCACCAGAGATGTGTGGTGCCTTCACGTTAGCCCGTTTACCCGGAACATGAAGAAAGAACAATTCATCCTTCCCTGGAAGCCATGAGCATTTTTCTGTTGCAAGAAACATCCTCTTGAACAGATCTCCCCAATATTAAAAGCTGATGGAAGACTTGTGGCCTGGGTGTGAGGCAGGTTATCATCACAGTGGGATATGCCATGCCCGAGGCTCCTCCTGCTGCTGCCATCCTTTTCATCAGTGCAGCAATGGGCTTGTCCTCATTGAGTCACCACCCTTTTGCCACTTTGCCCTATCCCAGAGCTTAAATTTTCCAATTCCCTGTTTATAAAACAGACTGCTTCTGAAGCACAACAGAGCACAAGTTACTCTGTGACCTCCAAAACCTAGAACCTAAGGGAACTGTGAGCTCAGGAAAAACTGAAGGTAAATCTGACTCAGATATCCAAATCCTCTTTTGAACACTGTGCTCTATCTTTGGGAGTCTGTAAGGTTGTCTCTACAGGGAAATGAGCAGAAGAAAACATTCCAAAATACCTCTGATACATTCAACTCGTACCATTTTTAAAACCCAAATAAAAACTAAATGCAGACCAATCCCTAAAATCTCAGTCTAAGTCAGTGGGCAATAGCTGTTTGCATGCTGGAGTTTCCCCCTCTTCTGATCTGGAGTGCCACCCCTGAAGGGCAGTGCCACTGCCACATGTGCCTTGAGAGAGAAAAGGGAGCCTCACCTGGATTGTTCACTCTATTCCTCCTTCTCAGAAATACCTGCAGAACTACCCAAAGATGGACAGTTCGAGCTGTGCCTTGTCATGTACATACAGAGGCAGTATTTGCAAAACCAAAGGGTGGCTTTGGGTTTATCATGCTGTTGACAGAAAATCTGTCTGATTACAATGACAACCAGCTCAGCAGCTCTCCCAACACCACTGCTCCTGCAAAACTGGGCTCTCCTGCTGGCCACTGGTCTCATGCACAGCTTTGGATAAATCACTCGTCTGTTTTCTGTGCTGGCTCATGAGTAAAATTGGAAGGCCTTTAGCACATTACAAAGGTGAAATAAGAAAAATTACATTCCTAGATGTACTGGCACCATGACAACAGGATTGTACAAGCACCAGAAGATGATAGTCAAGTGTTTCTGGAATGAGAGTGTTGACCTAGCTTTACAAAACCACCTCCACCACCACTGTTCCCATTACCCATTTAATTCTGCTCTGAAAAGGGAGAAGGGGACAGGGAAGAAATGCAGTAGGAGACAATAGAGTATTGGGTCAAAGGGACCCTCACCATGTCAGGTTTCTCATCCTAATACACAGCACAAAACTGCTCAAATGCAGTTTTAGTCACCTATCCACAATGAAACATGCCCACAGCTTTGGCAATGGCAGACTACAGGTTTGCAGTAGTACATACTCAGTTGAAAACCATGGAAAATCTCTCTTGGTCAATAATTATTAAAATGCATGCCACATTCCTGCTTTGAGAAAGAATTATTTTGATGATTTTTTCTGACACCAGAAAAACAGGCCAGCTGATGCCACTGAAGCCTGACAAACTAGGCCTGCTATCTTTTTACCTGCTGATATCGCCTGCTTTTTACTTGCTTTTCTCTGTCAGAGGGCAACCTAGAAAGCCCAGATGTCCTGGAATGACTATCCATTCTAGTAGAAGGCTGCTGCTACCAGATAAAGCAACTACAGGATCAGGAATATGAGGAGAGGACTAGGCTGTCTGCACAATCAGCTCTCATCTTGTCCACATGCTGAGACTAACTGTGGCCTCATAAAACTCTCTTTGTCAGGGGTATCTCTGGTGATCAGACAGGAATGTGGTGTGTGGGGTAATGTAAAGGACATTTTACAATATATGAGCTACTGAAGTTAAGAGAATGTTTGGATTTCCCTCATCTGAGAGGAAAGGGCGATGCTTTCCTCTAGAAAATGATATGAGCTAGTTGGTGGAAGAGTTAATAATTAAATAATAAAATCTCAAGAGAGGCAGACTAATGAATGGAATTTTAAATCTTCCATATTTTTTCTTTGGGGGAGGACATACACTAGCACTACACTGAGCAGAAGTGCCTAAGGTCAATCCTAACAACATCTGTTAAAGATTACTCCCAAACCATCTCTTCTTGAGATGCACACACCCTCCCTTCTGCTGCACAGCCATCACTTGGGTAAACCCACTCTCTGTCCATAAAGAATAATTTCAAACTGTGAGGAGTAACCCATCCAACCAGACAAAGGCAAGCTGGAATTGCACACAAGTACAACTGCCTGCTGAAATATTAATTCCTTTATTATGCAACTGAGGTGTTTCTTTAGGAGATGGCCATATGGCAGACCCCACCACGCACCAAAGGCTGCCTGCACAGGGGCTGAGGCATGTGGGTTCAGTGACAAGAACTGACCTCTGACAACAACAGGGCATAAAAGGAGGAACAGATTTCATCCACCAGGTGTGGCTTTGGTCCAGCCATGCCTTTGCTGACCTACTTGCCCAGAGCTGACACCTTCCCCATCACTTGGACGGCATTCACTTACGGGACGCTCACTCGAGGGCCCAGGCAAGGAGCTCCGACAAAGTTAATCTGACCATTCCGAGGGAAGAAATAGAGGCAGTAACAAAGCCAGGCAGAGGCTGAGGCAGGAGAAGGATAAAACAGAGTTTCCCACTAGGTTTCCCACTCCGTGTCAGCACATGAGGGGACACAGTTTGCCTAAACACAACCTATTTCACTGGTGTTCCACTGAGTAACCACACATGAATACATGACCCAAAATTTCCTAGGTAACACACAACAACCTCAGAAAACCGGATCCTATTCCATCCTGTGCTCACCCTTTGTCTTCCCCCTCTAACTCTACTTGCAGAGGCACTATATGTGATTCATAGGAATGAAGGAAACAGCCATCAAAGCTCCTACCTTAATTGCAAAGGCAGCATGTCAGTTGTCATCCTTTTCCTCCCTAAATTCAGATCATTAAAAAAGACTCAATACCTACTGTACATTTGCTACTGAGCAACCACTCACAAGAGTTATTCTACATCTTGTACACAGGGCCAATTAACACCTCGGGGTGTAATACTGACATACTGCCTTTCTCACAAGGCACCACTATTCCTCTTTGTTTTATGTGCAACAAAGGCTGTGGAGGGGTACCAGGTAATGACTGTTGCTTTACCAGACCAGTCTCTGGAGGGAACAGCATACCCTCATGCAAATCATAAATCACAAGGAAATACAACCTGCTGTGATAAGTTGAAACCAATCTTCCCTAACCATTTCCATGCACAGTACTGCTTCTGAAATGAAAAGCCTCATTTAGAGCGGAATAACTTTAAACTGTAATTTGGAGTGTATTCTGCTTGATAGGGCAGACCCTGAGCCCTGATGTCAATCTTTCTGTGGGTTTAATAGCTCACCCCATAAAAAGTATTCCATAGTTGCATTTAGCAGCTTCACAGTTTTGTTCAGAAAAATCAAAGCCCCCCGCCAGCAGAGTATCCAAGTCCCTCAACAGAGAGGTCCCCATTACTCAGAGAGGTGATCTTGGAATTTCACAGAAGCCAAACAGCACACAGTCTTTCCAGCCTGTGGCAGCAGGCAGGTGGCCACCTCCCACCTGAGGGATGGAGAACACCCCAGGAGCTGTGAGCTCTTGCTTCCCCTCTGGACAGGGTGCCTGTCATTGCTCAGCCACGTCTGCCTCTCCTGCAGCCCATGCTTGAAGCAACAAAGATGTCCTCGAGCCAAACTCTGGGATTCAGCAAATCGATGTCTCCTGCTGCTCTCTCAATATAACACTGTGAGTTGAAAGCATACATTCCCATACCTGCTTTATTATTTTGAGAGGTGTGCTATAATAAGGTTTGGCCTACTCAAACAGAAAACCTGAAAGTGATGCTGTTATTCAGCACTCAGCTCTCTACAACTGCTAATAAAAAGTGCACTTCTCGTGTTACCATTGCTATTTCCTTTGTCAGTTATGCCCTTTTTGGCAGTAGGGCCTTAACTCTATGTAACAAATTTTGTTTCTACAGAAAGCAAATTCTGAGGTACACAACTTTTTGTAGCTCTGAATTTCCCATTGGCATATATTGCTGTCCTCTCAAGTGACTGGCTTTCTGCCCTCAAATATTTAGTCTAAAATGGCTTGCCTGTAATTTGCCTTCATAACTTTGGAGGCTTATAAATTAGTATTTTTCTACCATCAAACATCAAATCACCCAAAACAATAGGTTCCTACACCTCCCTGGTGATACAATACTATATTTAAGACACTTATCAAATGCCACCAATTACATGGGCATAGGTCAGTCGAAGCACACTGCTGTATGATTAACAGCATCAACTTCTGTAAAGAGAAGCTGTAAGCTAGCAATAGTGCTTCACTCCTCCAGTCTGCTTTCTCTGATGGGGTTTCCCAAGTGTTTTCCAAAAGATGATATGTCACTGTTGTGCTGTGCAACACAGAACATTATTAGGATATTTTTAACCTAAGCACAAACCTGACACAGAGAACCATTTTTCACATCTTATCAGCTCAGTCTCATATGATGCACGTGGTCTGCTTTACTTGCCCTTGAGCAACAAGAGACAAGCTCAAGGCTGGCCCAATCTCCACAATAAATCTTTACAGTAAAAGCAAGTGCAAATATTACAAGATACATACTGTAAGGGACACACTCGTACTGCACTTCCAGGTACTTGTACGTGCCGGGGCACGGGTCTGGAAACACATCAGGGCCGGCAACAACCGCACACTGGGTCCGATTACTGCATCTGGAAAGCAACAAAGATGAGAGTCAGAAAACACAGCAGACAGAAGGACAGGTCAAGAAGCTGAGTGGCCACTCCAGTGTCAAAAAGATGCAGGAGCCAGGACTTCTGCATCAGCTGGGGAAGCTCAGCAGAGAGCACAGAGAGGCTGATGAAAAATGTCAACATCTTCATCAGCTTCTTACCACAAGAGAAGAGGCATGGTGGCACAACCCCTCCCCTCCAGGAGTTATTTCTTTAATACCAGCATCCTCACCAAACAAAATGCAAAGACTAAACCAGCAACAGTGGCAAAAAAATAATCATTCCAAGTTTTACAGCCGACATAGCAATATGTTTTACAACATTTTTATAAAGTGTTCCCACAAAACTAGTTATCTTTGGCTTCTTAAGCCAAAGCAAAGATGAGAAACAGCAACACTTGAGTAGGAGGAAAAAAAAAAATCACTAAATAAGCTGTCTAAAAACCAAAATAATGCTTTTCATAGGGCCTGTTAGGAAAACTTCCCAGTCTAGTCATTCGCAAGGCAACACCCTTGCATTAGGCTCAAATGGCTAAGTTATATTCCATCATTCTGCCCATCACGGATGCAACTCCTGAAATGAGGTACTTTTTCCAAAAAGCTTGTTCTACATGAAGAAGACACACATAAGGAAGTGATCCTGCCTGCTGGAGTGAGCATCTTTCAGCTTAAGAGCACACACAGAGAGGTTGGGTTCTGCAGGATGCTCTTCCTGAGGCCAGGGTCCATGGGTGAGTGATTGGTGCATGTGTAGAAACACACATTTGCCTCTCATTTCATGGGACAAACACCTCTAATGTACAACTGGTGATGTAAAAATATTTAGCAAACAAATGATTCTATAGAGAAAAATTGTCTGTTTATTTGTTGTTGTTTTTTTTTTTTAAAAAAAGAGAAATATTATTTGTCTTTGATTTTTCTGCTTTTGCATGCCAGAAGGAGACCTCCTAAAGGCTAGACCACTGCATTTATTTTCTTTAGGAATCTGCCTCCTCTGACGTGAAATGGGACCCTGACCCTCCTGCTCTCCTGGCAGAAGCTGTGACATCCAGCACAGAATTCATTTAGGTCTGCAGTGGAAATGCTTCGTGTTTACCTGAGGCTACAGTTTGTCAGACTTAATGCGGATTTTATTTGAGCCTATAAATTAAAATTGATTCATTAGCGACTGCCTTAAGCTCCATAATTTCTTTAATTTTATGGAAAGAATAATAAGAGCTGATATGGTTGCTCATCAGGCTGTTTTGCTGGATACCAGATAATCCAGAGGCCTGGGACATTCTTGTGTTTTCCAGCTGAAAGACAACAGTTGTCACAGCTTGTCACAGCTTGCTGTGACTGGTTTTATTATATAGACAGAAAAATGATTTTCTTAACAAAAAACATAACTGTCCTCACCCATGCTGGGATATCACAGGTAGCTTGGACCATGCAAGTGGGCAGTTTTCCAGGAGTGGCTTTGAACATCATCCAAAATTTCACTTTCAACAAAAATCCTTTACTGGGCCCAATGTGCCTTTCAAAAAGCAATTTCACTGGTGTAATCAATAGTGTTCCTGGCTGAAGGGCCAGCATTGGCCACATTACACAGAATAACAGCAATGGATCAAAGACACCTTTCCAAATCATGAGTAAAGATCAAGAATTATGAGGAAGAACTGGAGGTGGGGGAAGGAACAAACACATTTAGGGTTCTCCTGTGTTGTGTTTTCTTTCTGTTTGCAAGGAAGCATTTGCTTTGAATGGTCAAGCATTTCCTTATGGCCCTATTTTTTTTTTTAAATGCAAGAACTAGGACACATAAAACAGAAGTGAAAACACACAACCTAGAAAGCTGTCTGTGAACACCACAGTTTTAACTTCCTCAAAAGCATACCACCTTCTGCAACATCAACAAAGACACTAAAAGCTTCATGATATAAGGGATTGAATGGGGAATGCAGGATGCACAGAAATGCAAAAGCTTTTTCCCCCAACTCTAGGACATCCTGAAGCCCCCCTACACATTCCTGGAATGGGGAATGGCAAAGCCTACCCAGCACAGGAACTTTCAAAGAAGGTGAGATCAAATTATCAGTGCCACCTTGGGGAGGAAACACAGAAAACCAAATGAAAAAGTCTCAAATACTACGTGGTGTCAGTACCTCACAAAATTAACTAAAAAAGGGTTCATATTAAATTTAAAAAAAACAAAAAAAACAAAAAAAACCCAGAACAAACCCAACAAACAAACAAAAAACAAGCCAACGTGAAAACCAGAAGAATTCAACCTACTGTCTTTTTCACACTCCTTTCCTGTGGGCAGCAAATCTGTATCTGACACTTGGCATTTTGAGCTTCCTTTTATCATGCCAGTGTGAAACACACAGGTTTCTCATTCCAGCACACTTAAGGGATGATGGCAATTTACACTAAAAACCATAGGAAAAAACCTAATGCCTGTTCAATGGACTATTACTGTCAGACATCAGGATATGGAAATTTTAAGGGGGGGAAAGAGGTAAAAAACACTAATCATTAAAGCTCTGGTTGCTCTGCTTTTGCTCATGCATTTTATCCCTTTTACAACAGCTTCTTGGTTTCTTCAGCTTTGTCATATTTCTTTCCAGACAGATTAAGGGCCCAGGTGACACTAAGTGACATGCAAAAAGTGACACAGGAAAGGAGATGTGTAAAAGATGATGAATCGGTAGCCTTGAAAATGACAGGGAGTAAAACCGTAATGTATTCATGCCATACTCCATTTCCAGCAAGCCAGGCCATGAGCTCTTGCTTGTAAATCACAGGATTTTACATGGAATCTTGGGATTTCTTGGCACCTGTGTCTTGCCAATACTTGCTCCAAACTCCTGCAAGTTGTGAGGCTCAGTGCTGGGTATGGACCTTTCCAGTAAATGCAGCAAGGATTGTTTTTTATTATTATTCTTGGTTTTCTTTCCTGTCAAGTCCTGTCTACCACTGCACATCCCACTCCACTCCCTTCTTTCTTTATTCTTTTAATTTTTCTCCCTTTTCTTGAAGGAAGATCTTTGCCAGCTACTGGAGGTGCAGTTTGCAGTGAGAACAAGCAATGCACCAGAGCTGGTATGAAGCTGGTAATGAATCTGTCTCCTCTACTGGGCAATCACAGAAACACCACCCAGCTTATACCCTTAGCTGTGCAGTAGGAACAGCAGCTCTGCATCAGGCTGGATTCCTCTCCAACAGTGCACCAACTGCTTGCATTGCTGGCTTTAGCATTTCAACTTTAGCATAACCGCAGAAAACTACAGTCACCTTTTTCACACCCATATCTGTATCTCTTATTACTTTACACAAGAACCTCTTATTTCTAGCACTGATTCATCAGCTTCTTCAAAGAAAACCACTTTTCCTTCCCCATCACTGCCCTCATGCTACAACTTTTCCAAGCAATCCCTGGCCTCTTCGGGTATTTCCTCATTCGCCACATGTTCTGATGCCAAGAAAACAAGAGAACTGTAAGAGGACTCTGGGAATTTAGGGGACCAGATAGACAATTTTATGCTATTAAAAAAAACAGCTTCCTTTTTATTTGTCCAGCATTTTAAAGGCAAATTGTCCCATTAAGGACTTTTGGGTTAGGTTCTTTATCCCTTTGAACTGAAGACTGACGAGAGGGAGGCAATTTTCTCTTGTTCGGTCTTAGTTGCTTATTCTTTTCTTATCAGCATTACAAGGTACAAGAAGCTACGTGCACTATGATGGAAAGGGGTAAAATGGCTAACAAAGATCCTCTTCAAGGTCTTTCATATGTCCATTTACCCAATTAACAGATGCTAACTAAATTATTTTTCTTAATGATTCAATGACCCAACACCTGTGTGCTGCACTACTGCATTCTTTATCCAATCACTTACTACCAACAAAAACCCCTAGGAGAAGAACATGAAGAAAGAAGGAGGACAAGAGACAACACCCTAAATCCTCCATCTTGTCTTCTGCTCTCTAAATTACCTTAAACTCTAAACTTCAACCCATTCACCCAGTGACTCAAGAAACCTTCTAATTCACACACTTACATTTTCAGTCTTTTCTACTTAACTCTAACAGTTGTCTCCATGGTGCTATGAGAAACTCAGTGCTTTCTTGGGTGTCAGAGTTAGGCATTACAGATAAATGTATCTTTTACATATATCATGCATCTCTGACCCCAACAGCAAATGTTCTGGAGACACAAGCGAATTAAAGTAGCCCCTCATATGGTTTTAGTTCACCTTGCTGTTGTTTATTATGAAATTTTAACAGGATATTTATAGCCATCTTTTTGTGTGTGTGTTGGTTTGGTTTATTTTGCAGTCCTTATTTCAATCTGCCATCATTCCCCTTTCCCTGTTATGCCCCAAAGGTCAAAGTGAGCCTATGAATAAAAACACTGCTTCTCAAAGACCCTCTCCATGTCTTGGGCCACCTCCATAATTGCTGCTGAGATTTGTGGACACGTTCCCTGAACCAAGTGTGTCCATACAGCTCAGCAAGACCAACCAAGAGACCAGAAACCAAACCAAAATCCAAGATCAGCATTTTCAGCCCAGCTGGAGACACTGATTCCTGTCTGTTCCTATATGTTCAAGAAAAGAGAATACTCCAAACCCTCCTATAAGTCAGTCCAAGGTACTTGGCAGCCTTTAAACATCCATCATCTCATAACCATAAGTTCATGCTATTCACATCTATGTTTTGGAGAGGAAAAATCACCCTACTGGGAAAACTGTAAATTGTTGCATTTGGAAGGTTATTAAAAAAAATTTAAAAAAAGACAAAAAACAGAAAGAAAGAAAAAAAAAAGGGGGTGTCCCTATGCATTCTTTCCAACTGCATTTCTCCCTACTTGTTAAGACCCCCATTTTGTCTTTCTACCTGGATATACAGAAAAGTATTTAACCTAGAAGCAAGGTGTCAATCCAGTGTAACAAATACAGTGTAACAGGAAACACAGATTATTTTTGCAGAATTTCTCCC